ATTAGGAACATTGAAGTCCTTCACGAGCTTTAAGAAATGCTAGTCAACAAAAAGTGCCTTTAAACTATATTCATATCAAGAAGTACAAGAAAGCCTTATATCTCCAGCAAGCAGGATCAAACAGGCAGGATAAAATAATGTGGAGATGGGATTCTAGAAACCCCCCCACCAAATAAAAGTAAGCCATGGAAGGAAAGGAAAAGTTTAAAATGAATTTATGTCGATGACCAACTACATTTCAGTATGCTTCTTCTTCTTGAAGAACTTTCAGATAAACTCCCAGAACCTATGTCAACATTATAATAAAGTTGGAAAATTTTATTGATATAGTTTTATATCTCAGCTGTCATATTTTGGGATAGTATAAAAGAATAATATCCAGAGTTCTCTAAAAAGACCATGAAAATACTTAATTTTCCCACATGTACTGCAGCCAGAGCAATAGAGTGAATATAGATGGGAGAGTGAAATAGGTATGAGACCCCTGCTGTCTTCTATAAAGCCAGATATTAAGGAAATTGGCAAAAGAGTAAAGTTGATTATGTGAATCATCAAAATGATCAAAAAATGGTACAAATTTATAAAATTTGTTCCATATTTTTATTGGTTCATTATAGTTGTATGTAATGGTGGGATTTGTTGTATTCATACATGAGCACAATATAACAATACGATTTGACCAATATCATTGCCCCTTTTCCTCCACTCCTCCTTTGATTTTCAAGAGATCCCTGCCATCTTTCCTTCCTCTCTCTAGCTTGTATATATAAGAGAAAACATAAAGCCCTTGACCTTCTGAGTTTGGTCGATTTTGATAACATAATGCTCCCAAGTTCTATAATTTCATTTTTCTTAGGAATGAATAAAAAACTACAGTGTATATATACAGCACATTTTCTATATTCATTTATTCATTGACAGGTACCTAGGTTGGTTCCATAGTTTAGCTACGGTGAATTGGGCTGCTATAAACTTGGGTATGCATGTATCACTGTAGTATAATAATTTTAATTCTTTAGGATAAATACCAAGGAGTGGCATACCTGGGTCATATGGCGATTCCATGTGTAGTCTTTTGAGGAACCTGCATACCGATTATGCTAACTTACAGCCCCACCAACAGTGTAAAAGTGTCCCTTTCTCTCCACATCCTCTCCAGTATTTATGATTGTTTTGTTCTTGATGACTGACATTCTGACCGATGTGAAACAAAATCTCAGTGTAGTTTTGATTTGCATTGCCCTAATTACTAATGATGTTGAACATTTTTTTATACATTTGTCAGCCATTTGTATTTCCTCTTTTGAGAAGTGTCTGTTTAATTCCTTTGCCTATTTATTATTTGGGTTTTTTGATTTGGGGGGTTGAGATTTTTGCTTTCTTTATATATTCTAGATATTAATTCTCTGTCAGAAGAGTAGCTAGCAAAGATTTTATCTCATTCTGTAGGTTCTCCCTTCACATTCCTAAGTGTTTCCTTTGCTGTGCAGAAGCTTTTTAATTTGAAGCCACCCACTTATTAATTCGTGGCATTATTTCCTAAGCTTCATAACAAATTTGATATTTTGGATGTCAGATAAGATGTCCTACTGAGAAAGTTGTTGCCTCTGCCTATAGGCTGGAATGTTGACCCTATGTTTTCTTGTAGGAGTTGTGTAGTTTCTGGTGTAATCCCTAGGTCTTTGATCCATTTTGAGTTGACTTTGGTGCAGAGTGAGAGATAAGGGTCTGGTTTCAATCTTCTCCATGTGGATAACTAGTTTTCCTAGTGCTGTTTGTTTAAAAAGACTGTCTTTTTCCAATGTATGTTTTGGGCACCTTTATCAAGAATCAGATGACTGTATCTGTGTGGGTTTGCCTCTGTGTCTTCTGTTCTGGACCATTGGTCTGTGTGTCTGTTTTTATGCCAGTGCCATGCAGTTTTTGTTACTATAACTAAATTTAACTAGTATAATTTGAAGTGAGGTATTCTGATGCCTCCAGCATTGCTTTTTTTTTTTCCTTTGGCTTAAAATCACTTTGGTTATTCTGGGTCTTTTATTCTTCCCAATGAATTTTACACACATTTATATGTAAATACAGACAGAGAGACACTCCTCAACTTAATATTGTAGATACGAAAATGTTGGTTGTAAGTTGAGTCAAAAATACATGTAATTTGGGGCTGGGGATGTGGCTCAAGCGGTAGCGCGTTCGCCTGGCATGCGTGCGGCCCGGGGTTCGATCCTCAGCACCACATACAAACAAAAATGTTGTGACCGCCGAAAACTAAAGAATAAATATTAAAAAATTCTCTCTCTCAAAAAAAAAATACACGTAATAACCTAGCCTTCTAAACATTACAGCCTAGCCTACCTTAAATGTGCTCATTTATGTTAGCTTAAACTTGAGCAAAATCACCTAACACACAAAGTGTATTTGATAGTAAAGCATTGAATATCTCATGTAATTGATTGAAGACTACACTGAAAGTAAAACACGGAAAGGCTGTTTAGGTACACTTTTGCACAACTGCAAAGTAGAATAATGGTTGAGTCATAACATTGTAAGTTGGGGAACATTAGTAAATACACAAGTATATTTTTCAGGATTTGGAAGGTTTAGTTTTGCCTAAATTGTTTCCCTGACAGTATATGAGATACAAATTAATTGTAGGTTATTGCTATTGACAGTAGTATGGGGGAAAAGACAAATTCATTAAGTTCTTTTGTTTTTTTGTAGACTGTATCCCTCACAACAGCTTTTATGAGTAGTAATACTCATATTCTCATTATTATTATATCATCCTTTATTCTTCTTTGTAGTAGAATGAGCAAGGGCTAAAGTTATGAAGCTTTTCAAGCTTAATAATCTAATCCTCTCACCATGCACAAAACTTAACTCAAAATGGATCAAGGACCTAGGAATAAAACCAGAGACCCTGCGTCTAATAGAAGAAAAAGTAGGCCCTAATCTCCATCATGTGGGATTAGGCCCCAACTTCCTTAACAAGACTCTTATAGCACAAGAATTAAAATCAAGAATCAATAAATGGGATGGGCTCAAACTAAAAAGTCTTTTCTCAGCAAAAGAAACAATCTGTGAGGTGAATAGAGAGCCTACATCTTGGGAGCAAATCTTTACCCCTCACACATCAGATAGAGCATTAATCTCTAGGGTATGTAAAGAACTCAAAAAGCTAAAGACCAAACAAACAAATAACCCAATCAACATATGGGCCAAGGACCTGAACAGAGACTTCTCAGAAGAAGATATACAATCAATCAACAAATACATGAAAAAATGGTCATCATCACTAGAAACTAGAGAAATGCAAATCAAAACTACTCTAAGATTTCATCTCACTCCAGTCAGAATGGCAGCGATTATGAAGACAAACAACAATAAGTGTTGGGAAAGATGGGGGGGGCGGGGGGAATGTGCAACCATACACTGCTGGTGGGACTGCAAATTGGTACAACCAATATGGAAAGCAGTATGGAGATTTCTTGGAAAATTGGGAATGGAACCACCATTTGACCCAGCTATTCCTCTCCTATACTCTATACTCAAAGGACTTAAACACAGCACACTACAGGGACACAGCCACATCAATGTTTACAACAGCACAATTTACAATAGCTAAACTGTGGAACCAACTTAGATGCCCTTCAATAGATGAATGGATAAAAAATGTGGCATATATACACAATGGAATATTATTCAGCAATAAAAGAATAAAATCATGGCATTTGCAAGTAAATGGATGGAGTTAGAGAAGATAATGCTAAGTGAAATTAGCCAATCCCAAAAAAACAAATACCGAATGTTTTCTCTGGTATAAGGAGGCTGATTCATAGTGGGGTAGGGAGGGGGAGTATGGGAGGAATAGACGAACTCTAGGTCGGGCAGAGGGGTGGGAAGGGAAGGGAGGGGGCATGGGGCTAGAAATGTTGGTGGAATGTGATGGGCATTATTATCCAGAGTACATGTATGAAGACACGAATTGGTGTGAACATACTTTGTATACAACCAGAGATATGAAAATTGTGCTCTGTATGTGTAATAAGAATTGACTGTGCTATCATATATAAATAAAATGCATTCCACTGTCATATATAAATAAAAAGATTTTAAAAAAACCTCTAATACCCATCTATGTTAGTTTTAGTGTTAATGTTACTCTAATAAATACCTGACATAATTGACTTTTAAAAAAAAAAAAAAAAGGTTATTTTGGCCCACAAGTTTGTACATATTAGTCCATGATCAATTAGCCCTGTTTCTTTGGGGTCTATGGCAAAAGAGAACATGATGGCAGGGAGTGCGTGGTGGCATAAAACTTAGCACCTTGTGGTAGCCAGGAGGTAAACGAGTGGAAGAATGAACCAGGGTCCCCAGATTCTCTTTAATGGCACGCCCCTGTACTAGTTAGCTTTTCCAGGCTGTGCCAAGATATCCAACAAGAACAACTAGAGGCAGCAAGGTTTATTTGTGGCTCACAGGTTCGGAGGTGTAGTCTATGGTCAGTGGAATTCACTGCTCTGGGCCCACGTTGCAGCAGCAGCATGGCGGATGGGAATGGCAGGGGATTCCAGCTCACCTCATGGAGACCATGAAGCAGGAGGGTATATGGGGGCCACAGGGAAGATGAACCCTTCCAGGCCATGCCCCACCCATCTAGTTACCTCCCAGTTAGTTCATTCAAACTAGGAGGGACTGATTAGGTTACAGCTCTCACAATTCAATTATTTTGCCTCTGAATACTCCTGCATTCACCCAGGAGTTTTGGGGAAATGCATTGCATATCCAAATGCCAAGATATCTAAGACTCCCCATAGGCCCCACATCTTGGGGTTTTCTGACACCTTTTAATCAGGTCATCCTAGGGATTAATCCTTTAATACCTGAGCCTGTAAGATATACTTTTCCAAACCACCATGGCAACACCTTTCCCTTTTAGCATTAGTGGTGATTTTTAAAAATATATATAGTGACCGGAAGGGCTCTTGACCGACGCCGTCCCTCCTCCGCGCGGCCTAAGCGCCCGGCGCGACCCCGGCCATGGGGTGCTGCTACAGCAGCGAAAAGGAGGATTCGGACCAGGACCGAGAGGAGCGGAAGCTGCTATTGGACCCTAGTAGCCCCCCAACCAAAGCCCTCAATGGAGCTGAGCCCAACTACCACAGCCTGCCTTTTGCTCGCACAGATGAGCAGGCCCTGCTCTCTTCCATCCTCGCAAAAACAGCTAGCAACATCATCGATGTGTCTGCTGCAGACTCCCAGGGCATGGAGCAGCATGACTACATGGACCGGGCAAGGCAGTACAGCACACGCTTGGCTGTGCTGAGCAGCAGCCTGACCCATTGGAAGAAGCTGCCACCGCTGCCGTCTCTTACCAGCCAGCCCCACCAAGTGCTGGGCAGCGAGCCTATCCCCTTCTCTGACTTGCAGCAGGTCTCCAGGATAGCTGCTTATGCCTACAGTGCACTTTCTCAGATCCGTGTGGACGCAAAAGAGGAGCTGGTTGTACAGTTTGGGATCCCATGAAGAGAGGGGTCTTTGGACAGCTCTTCTCCTCTCTTCACCTGTCTCCATCCCACCTCCCACGGCCCCCAGCCTCACTTTGGCTTATACAGTACCCCCTAACCTGCTACTAATCACTGAGAAGAACGTGGAGGAGGAGAAGAGCGAGGCTAGAAGCCTGAGCTAATGAGGATGGAGCAAGGGAGGATAGAACCATTCAGGACTGGCCTTCAAAGCCCTGGCTGGGGTGGACGCCAAGAGGACAGGGACTGGAAGGTCTTCACAGTCATTGGAAGGTGGAGATACCACTGTGGGAGTGAACACCAAGGGACCTAGGGGGAGGTCCTTCCCACCCTTTCTCTTGGCCTCAGATTCACTCCTGTCCCCCTTTCTCTGACTTGGTGCTCCCATGCACCTCACTAGGGTTTGTGCCCAGGATCTGGATGAGCTTGAATTTGAATGAATTGACTGTATTTCCAGCAAAAAATATATATATATTAATTTTTTTTTGTAGTTGTACACAATAACTTTTATTTATTTTTATGTGGTGCTGAGGATTGAACCCAGGGCCTTGCACATGCAAAGTGAGTGCTCTACCACTGAGCCATAACCCCAGCCCCTGATTTTTTTTTTTTTTTTTTTTTTTTTTTTTTTTGGTACTGGGAATTGAATCCAGGGGCACTTAACCACTGAGCCACAATTGGGCCTTTTTAGTTTTTTAGTTTGAGATATGGTCTCACTAAATTGCTTAGGGCCTCTCTAAGTTTCAGAGGCTGGCCTTGAACTTGTGATCATCCTACCTGAGCCTCCTGAGTTGCTGGATTACAGGCATGCACTACCACACCCGGCGGCTAGTATTATTGGTGGTGTTTCAAGTATCATCTTTTCACTTCTAAGAAAACACCATCGTAAAACTGAAGATGACTTGGTTGGTAGCTGGTTAAAAGGATTTGACGGTAAAATCAGGAACATTTAAGTCACATTTGAAGCGTAAGAAATCTAAAATCTTTTCAGAGTAAGTACTTCCTTACTCTTTTATTGGGAGGAAAAGTTTCCCCATATGGAAAAAAAAAAAAAATCTATCTGAGGCTTATTGCTAACAACTTGGCTGGGTTCAAAAACTCAATTGCTGAAAAGTCTGGCAGGCAGCAGGATCTATTAAAATTTCTTTCAGTCATCTTTGGGTGCATTTATACCTGGGTTTGGGACATCAGAGTACGTGTGACGTTTCTTAACACATTCCATATTGACATTAGATTTTCAACAACTTTGGATTTTGGGTTGGGATAACACAGAACTGTCAACTTAGTTTAAAATGACTACAATTTGCACAACATTTGAAAGGAAGGAGGGAAACATCTTTCATTGAGTGAATATCAAGGTTGTTTGCATAGAGAACACCGTGTTTCCCTTCATTTCTCCTAAATGTGTTGGTAAATCTGCATGATTTTCTAATACCACACTCATCATCAATAAAAAGCACATGGTCTCCTTCAAATTGCTGGGGCTGTTTGAAACATTTTGGGGGGATAGGTGGGGGTGCTATGGATGGAACCCAGAGCTACACCTGGAGCTCCCTGTTTGAAACTTTAATAGTACTTTTTTATTAGCTGAACTGCTTAAAGTTTTTCTCTTAAAGAATGGAAATGTTGTATTGAGAATAATTATGCTTCCAGGTAACGAAAAATAAACATTAAACACTGATACCATCATCTCCTTGACTTGTCTAATTTTCCCGATTCATAATGCACTGTGGCTAGACTGATGAAATTCAAGCTGTAATGGTAAATTACCTGTCAGATTGATTTGTCTGCTCTGTTCATTATCTTTGGCGCAAATACAGAGATGGTTGTGTGCCTGTTTTAATTTCTCAGAGCTTACAACAGTAGCTGGAAATGCCTCTTTGCAGAAGGAAACTTAGTATGTATATATTCAAAATAAAAGTTACCCATGCACAACCTGGACAGATGTTCAAAAAAAAAATAATCATCAAGCTCTTTCACTTTGATGTTTTCTTATTGAAAATTAATGATTAATCTTAGGGTACAAGAAAGCAATAGTGAAAACCCTTCTAATTGTCACTGTTTTCTTTATTATTCAAAGGATTTCTAAAGACACACCTGCATATATCACTAGGCTAGGCACCAAACACAAGAAGCTTCTTCTGTTCCTTGGGTAACTGAAATTGAAAACCATTTTTTTTTCACAAATACATGAAGGTCTTCCAAAAGACAAAATAGAAACCATAAATCAACTCCATAATACCTGAAGTATAATTCTATTAAAAAATCAAGGTCATAGTTCTTTTGGGTGTGGAGGCAATGGGAAAAAAAATTTAAAACTGGGTTTTGTCCTAAGGTTGCATGTTAGCTTTCTGTTATTATAACAAAAAACTCAAGATCATCAACTTATAAATAGGGAAGTTTTATTTTGACTCACAATTTGGGGGATTTCAGTCCGTGGTTGAATGGACTCATTGCTTTGGGGCCTGTGAGGAGACAGTACATCATGGTAGGAAGCCTATGGTAGAGCAAGCCATTCACCTTATGGCTGCAGGCAAAGAGAAAGAGGAGGTGAGGTCCCACAATTTCATTCCAGGGCTTATGGCTGATGACCTAACTTCCTCCCACTAGGCTCCACTTCTTAAAGGTTTCGCCACCTTCCAACAGCAGCACCTTGGAAACCAAGCCTTTAACACACTGGACTTTGGGGACATTTTGGATCCAAACAATAACAAGTTGAAAGAAAATTTGTAAACCTTTTGCTAATTGAAAAAGAACTTTCTTTAGTAATAGCCTCTCCTTGCATGATCTTTACACACTCAAGAACTGCTCCTCTGTGCCCTTGAGTGGAAGGCAAGAATGAAGCCAACATGAACTGAAGCAGATCATGGGCAAGATGGGCCAAGAGGTGCTGTCACCAAAGTCACAGGAGAATTTGTGAGATGGCAGGGGTTAGGATGTGCTGTGGTTTGGATATCATTTAATTGTTTAATTTGGATGACTCCGCAAAAAAGTTCATTAAATTAAAGGCTTGATGTGCAGAGTGTCACTATCGGGAAGCAATAAGACCTTTGAGAGGTGGGGCCTTGTGGGAGGTCCTTAGGTCATTGGGGTGTGTCCTTGAAAGGGATTGTGGGATCTCAGTCTCTCTCTGGTCTGGCTGGAGATGTGACCTCTCAAACACTTGCTTCTGCCATAATGTGCCACCATCTGCCCTCACCAGAGCCCAAACACATGGGACCAATGTATCTTGGACTAAAAACTTCCCAAACTTTGAGTTAAATAAATATTTTCTCTTTATAAAGTTATGATGTCAGGTATTTTGTCATACTAACACAAACTGACTAACACAGGATGCTTTGCAGAACTGGCTTTCTCTGCCAAATCCAGTTCTTGCCAAACTGTCTTTGTTTTATGGAAAGCATACACTGAGGGACTCTGAATTTGTTCTAGTAAGTTTGGGAAGGACATAGATAGCAGAGAAACTTTGATGTTCCCCACTTGACTCCTTGCCAACAAGATGATCATCTCCAGGGTGGATATGGCTGCTTCAAAGAAGTTCTGGGTGAAATGGAATCCTAGGGGCATGCAGACTCAGAGAGTTCAGAGTGTCTGGGCTCTGGGATGGGAGAGATCTGTGCAGCTCCCAGATTTCTTAACTAGAGTTGAAGCAAATGTCTTGATCTTTCAGAACTTTGGTTTCTTTATATGTAGCATACAGAAGAAAAAAAAAACTTTACAGTTTTTAAAATAAGAATTAAATGAGAAAATGTAAGCAAAGCACTTTGCTTAGTGCCTGGTTTACAATAAGTACCCAATAAAACTTAGTCATGTAGAAAAGTTTATATTGCTCTAGCTACAATCCTATAATAAAATTCCTTACATTTTTCATAGCTTGGGTTTCATTTGATCCTTATAAGAATCCTGGGAAGCAGTTGGGGGAGGTCGTATCATTTTATTACACAAAGGAGTAACTGTTATAGTTTAGAAATGAGGGGTCCCCCAGCAGCTCATGTGTGAAATGATGCAGGAATTTTCAGAGGTGAAACGATTAGATTTCAGAGGTGTAACCTAGCCAGTGGACTCATCCACTGATATGGGTTAACTGGGTGTTAACTATAGGCAGGGTACGGCAAGAGGAAGGTAGGTCACTGGATGGTGTTTGTCTTCTGTCTTTGGTGAGAGGATCTCTCTCTCTGCTTCCTAGTTGCCATGTCCTGAGCTGCTCTCCGTCACCACAGTGTTCTCCATTACCTTGGGCCCAGAACAATGGAGCGGCCCCAAATAAACTCTTTCCCCTCTATATTGTTCTTGTCAGGTATTTTGGTCACAGTGACAAGAAGCTGACTAAAACAGTAAGTTTTCGAAAGCTCAAGTGCCGGGCGAAGTGCACTTGATAAGTGCCAAAGTTGGTATACCCTGTCTTCCAGGCCCCTGCGGCACATCCATTGACACACAATTTTGAGTGCTTCCAATGTGTTAGACACTGGAATTTATGGTGAGTATTACTATATAATATTTCCATCTATTAGAGGGTCTGTAGTCTAGAGAACAGAGATAATAATCAAATAATTCCGCTTTTTATGTATAATTCAAAACTGATTCAATCACTCTGAAAGCAAGGAACATAGTTGTCTAAAAATTTATTTACAAAGGGACATGGTTAAGACTTGGGGTCAGAGCAAAGCTTCTCCTGAGAAGGGTGCCCCTGGAACTGAGATCAAGAGGGAGGGAAGGAGGATGAGTGGCTGGTCTCAAAGAGAATGCATAGCCCCACGAGAGAGGCCCAGGGGCAGGAGACAAGGCTGTTTCCAGGAAATGCACAGAAACCCAAAAGGTTGGAGGTCACAGAGGAGGCAAAGTGGTGAATTTGGGGGTGGGGGGTGATGGCAGAGGTGGTACGGATGGTAGTGGCAGTAGCTAGTTTTCATTGGCCCTGTGCTTGCCAAGTGGGCTGAGCCAGCCTAGGGCCACCTTACAAGATTCTTGGCTTGAGTTTCACTGTGAATCTAGGTTGCAAATCCATTATGGGGCACATGGCCAAGCACATGTTGTTCCCTTCCGGTTACCCCTTCCTTGCAAGTTA